TTGTGAAACTTCCGGTCTGCTTAAGACACTGAAGCAGCAATTCCTTCTCTAGGGAAAAAATAAGAGATTTATAAGACCCTCTTTTAAAAAAATGAGGGCTTTTTGTCTTTTTCTATCATGTGGGGCATTTTAAGTTTATTTTTTTTGTATAGTAATATAAAAAGAATAATATATATAAATAAATGAAAATAATATATATAATATAAATAAATTTTATTTCAGATACAATTCTACAGTTCTAACATTACTGTACTTCCCTCACACTCGCCCTTCTTCATTCCTTCCCCTTGTTTTTTAATGTAATTTTTACAATAACTTTCAATTTACTTTATAGTAATAGGCTTGATGTACCACTAACCAGAATATTTACCAAGTAGAAAGTAGGAAGGTCGTTGTTCCACAAGGAATATAGAAAAGATTTATAAACAATAATCAAATAATAAGGTATCAGTAAAGCTGAGACTTTAAGAGTGTTTGTGGACCCTAATTTTGCTTAGTTTTCAATTGTAACAGATGAAATAGTAGAGAAGAACAGTTTAGCAAAGAGTATTATTCCTGGTGAATGTCTCTGCCTGTCCTACCAGCAGCTCTGGCTGCTATTTAGAATGCTGATCAGGATGACCCAGTGGCTCCTAGATTTAATTTTGAGGGGATGACACTAACTAGAGGTGGTGGAGACATTCCTAATTCTCCATCACCTTCCTTTATCCATTTGGCTGAAGTGTGGTATGTTCAAGGCAAGGAGTCTCTGCCATCTTGATTGTTGCTATTGAAGCCTGTGAAAGGGCCCGGTACAGATGGCTCAGTGGCTAAACCCTTGTTGCTTGGGAAGGCGGTGGATGATGGCCTGGGAGCTTGGGATACTGAACCCACCCTGGCTCCTGGCTTCTGCTTGGTTCAGCTATGGCCTTTCAATGGGGAATGAATCAATGGATTGGAAGATCTTTCTGTCTCTCTATAAATCTGCCTTCCCAATTTAAGAAAAAAAAAAAACCTTACAAAAATAAATAAGTAAAGCCCACACAGAGAAGCAGCTGCACCTGTAGATGTTGCTCTAAGCATTCTTGTTGCCTGGATCATTCATTCCTTCACTGCACATTGATACTGAAAGATAGGGATGCAAAAAGCAAGGGAACTAGATCACCTTTGGGCAATTCATCTGGTTATGAGGAAAACAGACAACTCCTCTCTGTGCCAGATTCTGTGGAAACTTGAAAAGAAATCAGCTCAGTAAATCCTCACGATAACTCTATGAGCTTGTACTATTATTGCTATTCATACTTTCCAGATTAAAATGCAGAGGAATTGGAGAAATCTGCAGGCTTCAGGTTCCTAATTTCGGACCAGCCAAGCTCCTTCTGTCATGGGGAGTGAACGAGGGTGTGCAAAGTCTCCCTCTCTGTAAATCTGCCTTTAAAATACAAATAAACAAAGCTTTTTAGAAAAAAATGAAAAAAGGTTGCAGAGCCTGCATGTGACCCAAGGCACTCACTCCAGAGCCCATGCATTTTACCATACAGTGTTAGAGGTGTGAAGTGTTCTAGAAGGACATCACTGGGATATGAGTTTTATTAGAGTTATTTGTGAAGTGGAATTTATTGCAGGTGATAACCAGAAAGATAGAGAAGAGTCAAATATAAACATTTTTAGGCTGATAGACCAGGTCGATAGTGGTGTCAGAAATTAAGATTGAAAGTATAAGACATGGAGCAAGTTTAGGAAGTAATTGAATATAAGAATACCCAGGAGATATTCTTCTGATCCAGAGATGATCATGGGTGATAACGATGATAATGATGGCCAGTTGAGAATTTCTTAATTTTAATTTGCCTGTGCTGACATGGACTCCTCACATTAACCTCACATTAATGAGGTGCTCCTTACTGCTCCCTTCCACACCACCACTCCCCACCTCCTGACTCTCAGCAGAAGAAAATAAGTAGAATTCGTAGAATCTAAATGGCCTGTGGGCTTCATTCTGCAACTGTACTGTTGCTTAATCCGTAGGAGTTGCAGAATAGATAAGAGACAGCTTTCAACTTTTGCAAATCACCCTGGCTAGAAACAGTGAGGCCTAGGTGAAGGCACCATAAATTTAGAAGGAAAACGAAAATCTCTCTTGGCTCCTACGGATTTTGGGGACAACTACCAAGCAGGTTCTCTTGGCTTTTTGGTGCCCCCTGTGAACTATGCAAGAGTTACATGACCTAATATTTGTCAGCACATGTTCTAGTTCTGTCCTAGGACTCAGGACAATCTAGGTACCCTGACTGTCAACTCTCCTTTCATAACCATCTTTCAGATATCTGCTATGGATGATATTTCTTTCTTTTATAATTCCAGAATTTAGGAAAACGTAGTACTGCACTCCCCTGTCGCGATCAAAACCCTTTAGGGGGCCCACGTTGTAGCCTGTCTGGCAAAGCCACTACTGACAATGCTGACATCTGCTTCATGTTCCGGCTGCTCCACTTCCAGTACAGCTCTGTGCTGGTTTATTCGGGAAAGCATCAGAAATAAGCATGGTCTATGTGCTTGGGCCTTTGCACCCATGTGGGACATCCAGAAGAAGCTCTTGGCTCCTAGCTTCGGCCTGACTTACCCTGGCTGTTATACCATCCAGGGAGTAACGCAACAAATGGAAGACCTCACCTCTCACTCCCTTTCTCTCTCTCTGTCTCTCCCTCTCTCTCCAGGTTTCCTTCTCTCTGTAATTCCAGTTTTCAAATACATGAGTTTTTTTAGTTAAAAAAAGCTTTATGAATATATTGAAAACTTACCATGTGCTAGGTCACGTTCTAAGCCCTAAGAATGCATCGGTGGAAAAGTAAATGTGAAAATATTTTCCTGTGAGGAGCTTGTATTGTATATAAAAATTTTCTGAATTTTGAGTTTTACTATAGTCATTTATTTTCTTTTTTTAAAAAATGTATTTATTTTTATTACAAAGTAAGATATATAGGGGCCCGGTGCAGTGGTGCAGTGGCGCAGTGGTTAAGGTCCTCACCTTGCATGCCCGGGATCCCATATGGGTGCCGGTTCTAATCCTGGTAGCCCCGCGTCCCATCCAGCAATCCCCTTCAGATTGCTCAGCTTCAGCTGTTGCAGCCGCTTGGGGAGTGAATCATCGGACGGAAGATCTTCCTCTCTGTCTCTCCTCTCTGTATATCTGCCTTTCCAATAAAAATAAATCTTTGAAACAAACAAACAAACAAACAAAAAAACAAAGTAAGATATATAGAGAGAAGGAGAGACAGAGAGATCTTCCGTCCACTGATTCATTCCTCAAGTGACTACAATGGCCAGAGCTGCGCTGATCTGAAGTCAGGAGCGAGGAACTTCTTCCAGGTCTTCCACACGGGTGCAGGGTCCCATGGCTGTGGGCCGTCCTCGACTGCTTTCCCAGGCCACAGGCAGGGAGCTGGATGGGACGTGGAACAGCCGGGATTCAAACCAGTGCCCATATGGGATCCCAGTGCGTGCAGGGCCAAAGACTTTAGCCGCTAGACTAGCACGCTAGGCTCTCCTTTCTTACTGTATTAATTCTTCCACTATTGTTCCATTTTCTCTGCCCCAAGAGATAGCAAAAAGTATTCTTAGGGCTTTGCAGAAGATAGTTTGAAATTCTTTAAATCTAGGTAGACCTATTGAAAATTAGGAAGAAAAGGATTTGCCGAAGATTATAATATGTAATTGATTTCCGTACATCTAATTATCAGATCAGTGATTTTTGTCACACTTGCTGAGTGTGTATATTTGGTTACCTCAGAGTCCAAACTGATAGTGATATGCCTAGTACAATTTCTGATACACAGTGATTATGCAACAAGTGTGTGGTGAGTTCTGCTCATATATCTGGACCAAACAAAAAAAGTCAGGTTTTAGATCTCAAAAACTGAAAGACGTAATGCTTCAGAGAGTGTCACAAGTCTCTACACTTTGACTAGTGGCCCAGAAGTCTTCCTCATAATCCCCAAAGAACTGCCCTTGTGTATTATTCTCACTTAGTTCTGAATGTGTTTTTCAACTCCTGATAATCTGTAGATGTATTAATTATTTTGGGTTCATCTTTTTTCTTTTTCTGGAAGTAAATGCATTTGAAACCCCAAACAATTAGTAGATTTATAAATGCAACCAGGTCGTAAGTGAGGAACTAATTACAGTTGACTAGCAAAGAGTGGAATCTCCACTCTAAACAATCGGTTCATAAGTAAGCTATGAATTCAGCTGCCTCAGTCTATGGTTTCTCCCAACTGAGATTGGACTAGATAGAACAAGGCAGTCTAGTTGAGGAAGAAAGCTGGTACATGCCTTTGGTGAGAATAACTGTCATACTTTAATGCAGCTGAATAAGGCCAGCATCTCCCTTCTTTCATGGGAGAAAAAACTAGGTCACAAGTAAATATCTCCATATTTGTAACTCGGTCCAGCAACGACTAGATCAGGAAGGGAGGGTGCAGGATACTACGTACTCAAGACTTTTGATGCTGGGCGGATTAGACGGGGTGCAAGAAATAGATTCACTGATATTTAGAGTTTGGAGGAAGAAAGCAGCTAATGTTTTGGGGGCTTAACTATTTTTTTTTAGAAATTTACTAATATCTTAGATTCTCAGGTTATTAGAAAATGCATGATTGCTACAACACAATTCTCATATTAATGTGATACTAATACAAAGAAAACAAGTTCAATGGATGGGCATAGTACCCACAGTTGCGCTCACTTGGGGAGTGAATCATCGAATGGAAGATCTTCCTCTCTGTCTCTCCTCCTCTCCGTATATCTGACTTCCCAATAAAAATAAAATAATTTAAAAAACCAAAACAGTGCAGTTTATAAATACAATTCCAAGAATATAGTAATAAATAGAATAAATCAAAATGCTTAGAACATTGTAGGTTTTCAACACAGGTATGACCAAGGGTAAGTGGCTTATGGCATGTACATAAGGTTAGATTTTTTTCTTGTAAGCGTTGTATTTCTCTTGTCTCTTCCTATATATGGATCAACTCATAAACAATTTGGAGGCCCAACTTAATTCAGAAGGTGGCTCAGTGCAGGTTTTCAAACAGGTCAGTTATCAGAAAAATGAGGTAGTAATATTGAGGGCGTATTGACTGTGGCAATTACCTGGTAATTGCTGCAGAATGAAAACTCATTTTTCTTTATAAGAGCATGCTTTGATACTGATAAGGGATGAGGATAGATGATTTTCAGAAGTATTTCAGTGACTAAGTTTCATGTCAACTAGAGAATATATCCAGCTTAAAAGACTGAGACCTAGGGACAAAATTCTATCTTTGATAGATAGCACCAACCATTTTTCTAGCACTGTTCTGTATTTCAGGCACTGAAAACTAATTGCACTATCTTATTTAGTCTTCACAATGATCCTGTTGAGCATCATGTTAGTCACCATTCTCCAAGGAAACAAGACCGACAAGCTATAACACATATAACAACAAGATATAACACTTCATAGAAAATACATACCATGGGGGAAAAAACCTATGCATAGATTTCAAAAATATTTTTGCACTAAAACGAGCTCCCTTTTAATCATATTTTCCATGATTGCTTGAAGTAACTTTGCATATACATACATTTACATCATGTACATCCAGGTATGTCTTTTCTGTATAAATTAATACGTAGCTACAAATCTGGTATACGTAGCTACAAATCTGATACAGATACATATGTATCTATACATATATCTATAGCTATCTATAGATCAATACATATGTATCTCTATATATCCAGATATATATATAGATAAGTGTTTTTAAAAAGCTAGTTAAATGTGATTGTGGCAGTATGGCAAACTCAAAATCAGGTGGAATAGGGCAGTAGGTTAAAACTGCACAGGATTTGCAGTTCAAGTTCAAAATCAAACTGCTTACAGATTTCTCTCTTGCTCTGGGTAGCTTAATCTTTGTTTTATTAAGATCTTCAGTTTGGATGAAGCTCAGCCAACATTATGGAGGGCAATTTTATAAATGTTGGTTTCATCCAAAAATGTTTTCATGCAAATATCCAGTATGTTTTTTAATGTTACCTTTTTCAATTATATACATTTTATTTTTGATAATTTTTACATGTTTTATTAGGGTGCAAAGCATCAAGGGCTAGAGGAAAGTGGGTGAGACCATTGTTTTGACATTCTCTTTCTTCCTTCTTGTATCTGTGGGGAGAGGAGAGATAACGAGAGAAGCCACATCTAGCCTCCCACCCGTCCCAGGTCCCCTATGTGGGGAATGGTTCGAGGGTCCTGCTCAAGTGGCTCAGTAGTTCTGTATTGTTGCTGATCTTGCCTCTCCAATCATGATGAGATCTCCCCAGACTCCACTGGCTGACATAGTCCACCTTAGAGCTTCCATTTGCCCTGTTATTCACTGCCAACTCTTTGCTGGGGTAGTTGATCTATTTGTTCTGTCCTCCATCCTCTGTTGTGGTACCAGGTGTCCTCTGCAGGCTCCAGTGCACTGCCATATCCTTCATGTGCTTCTGGATATACTATCCACTGCTCCATAGAAGCCACTGAGGAGGCCTAGCTCTGATACATGCATTCCACTGTCAGACCATGGAACCTGCAATTTCTTCCATGGTTAAAGCTCTGAGTGCAGCAGTTCATTTGGGGGGATTCCCAAAGGAACTTCATCTGAGACCCAATTCTTGTGTGTGCATGCACAGTCCATCACCCAACTTGGTCTACATGCACACTGTTGCAATTGCTGGGTCAGTTGTCTCCAGCCCTGTCTTCTACATAAACTAATGGGTGCTGCAGTCCAGCCCGATCCTGTTCATTGCACACTAGGCCTCCACGCAAACCAGTGGGAGCTGAAGCCTAGTCAGAGCATCCTGCAATAACCCCCACCAGGCCTGCTTCCTGCCCTGGTTCCCATGCTTGCCACTATGTACTGCAGCCTGGTTCTGTCTGTCTCACATCCCATTTAGCTCTTACACATGTCAATGGGCATTGAAGCCTGGTTTAACCAAACCAGTCCCACTATCCAGCCCACACACTGCCGTTGCGTGCCACTCTCTGTCTAGCCATGCCCGCCCCAGTCCTGGTTCTCATGCTCACCAGTCAGAGTGGCTACCCAAGAGGGAGGTGTCCACTGTTTCCCTGCTGGGCCCACTCCCGCTCCTGGATCTTGCACTCTCTAGGTGGTTCTGCAGTTTAGCTCAACAGAGTTTCCCCCAATTCCAGCATCTGCTAGCTGATACTGCGGCAGAGCCCAACCAACCCTCACCCCCTCTGGCTTATGCATGTACCAGTAGGTCCATCCTGATTTGTCCTTGATTCAGCTTACATGCAAGCCAACAGGTGTTGTAGCCCTGCCTGGCCTGGTCTGCCCCCAGTCCCAGCTCTCACACTCACCAGTGGGAATATGGGCCCAGCAGAGGAGCTCTAGCAGTGCACCCCCTGTACTGGGTTTGCCCATTCTCTCCTGGGTCTCACATGTGCTGGTTGGGTGCTGGGGTCCAGTCTGCTATGGCCCAAATCAGCTCAGCATTTGCCAGTGGGTGCTGTAACCTAGCCTGGCCCAGCCCAACCAGCCCCTAGTTCCAGCTCACACTGGTGGGGACTACAGCCTAGCCCAGCCCAGACAGTCCTGAATCCCGGCCCTAGTGTGAACTGGTTGGTGTTGCAGCCTGACTTGGCATGGCTCATACACCATTCTCGCTCTTGGATTTGCCAGTGGGTAATTTGAACTGGCCCAGCCTGGCTTGCCCCAGACCTGAGCCAAAGGTAAGCCCATGGGTACTGTAACCTGGCCTGGTCTGGGCTGCTCCCTTTCTTGGTTCTTGCGTTCACCTGCAGGGACTGTGTCCACAGAGGAGTTGCCAAACTTCTCCATCAGAACCTCTCCCAATGCCAGATCTCGCACCCATGGTGGGTCCATGGGCCAGCCCTGCCTAATTGCATTTCAAGTTCAAAATCAAACTACTTGCAGATTTCTTTCTTGCTCTGGGTAGTTTAATTTTTGTTTCATTAAAATCTTCAATTGATCGGATGAAACTCAGCCAACATTAGAGAGGGCAGTTTTGTAAATGTTGTTCTCATTCAAAAATGTCTTCATGCAAATATCCAGTATAATTATTGACCAAATGTCTGGTTCTGTTCCCAGAGAAGTCACATAAAGTCACTCTTTTCAAGGTTCTCATTTTGTAGAAAAGAAAACTGGACATGGATAACTCAAGAATAAAGATAAGAATTATCTATTATTTTACAGCCAAACACCATGTGCTAGATGCTGAAGTACCTAAACTCTACACTCATGTAGAGTGTAAGTTAAACCAAAATCCAATCAAAATTATCCTTAAAATTCCCTTATATTGCCTATAAAATTATGTGTGCTGCGTTGTGTAATTGTGAAATACCATACATGTTTTTTCCTTATCGTAATTTAAATATACTGATTTTCCAGAATTTGAATGCTAGAGAGTAGATGATGTAATTACTGCTTTGGTTATTTCTTGCCATTTCTAGGATATTTTTTATTACATCTTTAAGATTTATTTGTTTTTATTGGAAATTCAAATATACATAGAGAAGGAGAGACAGAGAGAAAGATCTTCCATTTGCTGGTTTCCTCCCCAATTGGCTGCAGTGGCCAGAGCTGAGCTGATCCAAAGCCAGGAGCCAGAACCAGGAGCCAGGAGCCCCCTCTGAGTCTCCTATGCGGATATAGGGTCCCAAGGCTTTGGACCATCCTTTACTGCTTTCCCAGTGCACAAGCAGGGAGCTGAATGGGGGAGTGGAGCAGCCGGGACACAAACCAATGCATGTATGGGATCCTAGAACATGAGAGGCAAGGATTTAGCTACTGAGCCACCACACTGGGCACTTTCGCCCATTTTTTTCTTTTTCTTTTTTAAACTGTTTTTATTATTTTCTAAAGATTTATTATTTTATTTTTATTGGAAAGTCAGCAGAGAGGAGAGACAGAGTGGAAGATCTTCTGTCCGCTGATTTACTCCTCAAGTGGCCATAATGGCCAGAGCTGCACTGATCCAAAGACAAGAGCTTGGAATTTCTACCAGTTCTCCCCATGTGGGTGCAGGGTACCAAGGCTTTGGGCCATCCTTGACTCCTTTCCCAGGCCACAAGCAGGGAGCTGGGTGGGAAGTGGGCACCTGGGATTAGAACCGGCGGCCATGTGGGATCCCGGTGCATGCAATGCAAGGACTTTAGCTGCTAGGCCACAACGCAGGGCCCCACAATCCATTTCTTAACAGGTTTTTGGTTTGTTTTTTGCTTTGCTGTTGTGTTTCTGAGGCTCTCTCTTTTTAAGATTTATTTATTGATTTTTTTTTTAATCAGAAACTTAGATATACAGTGAGAAGGAGAGACAGACAGATCTTCCATCCACTGGTTTTCTCCCTAAGTGCCTGCAACAGCTGGAGGTGAACTGTTCCAAAGCTGGGAGGCAGGAATTTCTTCTAGGTCTCCCACACAGGTGCAGGACCATCCTCCACTGCTTTCCCAGGCCACAGGCAGGGAGCTGCAAGGGAAATGGAACAGCCTGTGTTTGCAAGGCATGGACTTTAGACACTGGGCTACCGGGCCGGGCCCTGAAGCTCTTTGTAAATACTGAATATTAGTCCCCTATCTGTTGTTCAGGACATAAAGATTTTCTCCCATTCTGCTATTGGTGTTTGGCTTTGTTGATACTTTGCTTTACTGTTACAGAAGCTTCTTTCCTTAATTGTTTTTTAGTTTTTCTCATAGAGGCATTCCATGTCTTTGGTTAGGTTTATTCCAAAGTATTTAATGAGCTTTTCTGCTGTTTTAAAAGGGTCTGTTCTGACTAGTTGACTTTCAGCCCTGGAATTGTTTGTGTACACCAGGGCCATCAGTTTATGCTCATGGATTTGGTACCCTGCCACATTGCCAAAGTTCTAATAGTTTCTTTATTGAGTCTGTTGGTTCCCCTCTGTATGGAATCATGTAATCTGCATCTATTAAGATGATGTGTATTATGTTTATTGTTTTGCATATGGTAAACCATCCCGCGTGCCAGTGATAAATCCCACCTGACATACTGTTGGATACTGTTGGCTA